CCCCAGTTCTGTATGTGTAAATAAATAAATCTTAAAAAAAAAAAAGAGATTCGTTAATAAGCACAAATTCACTGACCCATTGAAGTGGCAATAAAACTCTTGAGAGCAGTGTGCTTTCTTTCTCTCTCTTGTTTCTTCAGGTTCGGGTATAGCCCCTCAGATTCATGTTGAGCCTGGCAACAAGAAAATTAAGCTGACCTGTACATCCACCGGGTGGTACCCAGAGCCTGAGGTGCACTGGAGGGACCTGAAAGGACAGCTGTTGGTGCCAGATGCTGAGACAAAGGCAACAGAAGCAAATGGACTATTTCGTGTGGAAACATCTGTAACAGTGGATGGAAGTTCAAGTGGAGCTGTCTCCTGTCTCATAAGAAACCCAATCCTCAGTGAGGAGAAGGAAGTGTATATTTCTGTAGCAGGTCAGTTCCCCTCAAAGTCAGCATCCTGAGATATCACTACTGATCAAGAAGGTCTGACTATCACGGACTTATAATGAAGAACCTAGAAAGATGTTCTTTTTCCTCCATTTGTAACTCTTATGTAGAGAGCTACTAGAAATACAACTTGTCTTATTTTGTATTTCTTATTGTGACAGAGAAATGCCATTATTTAATTTTGTAAAACATGAATAGATGCACAAAAGCGCTCAAAAGGTGATGAAATATTAGGAGGAATCTGTGAAATTTCTTTCTAAACGTCTCCAAATCTCACTGCCTAAGGAAAGCCACCTTTTAAAATATGTTTTTTTTCTCCTGATCTGTTTAATTGAGTTGAATTTTGGCAGTTCTACCTACAAGCTTTGTGCCCTCAGGCATCTAATGACTTTCCTATACCCAGTTCCCAACTGTTTAATAGTAACAATAATAGTGTCTTTCTCATAAGGCTTTTGCAAGGATTAACTATATGGCAATATGATAGTACATAGCACAAGACCACGAAGAGCTCACACACCCAGTCTACTCTAAATATGCAAAGCCCAAGTGATCTGAAAATTCCCGTCATTGTTAATTTTCTGTTTGAAATACTATAGTCTGTCAACAAGACCGTCTCTTGCCCTCTTGTCTTCTGCAGCCTCATTTTTCATCACTCCCTTCCCTTCTGTCCCCTGCTCTCCTACCTCACATCAAGCTGTTTCCAATCATATAATATCCATAGAAACTATTAGCACCTCATTCTTTCTATTTTTCTGTAATTAAGAGTTTCCTATTGGTCCTTCAGATCTTAATCCTCTCTCCCCTGTAGAAAGCCACCTTTAACCCATTCTGTTAAGTGCCCTCTTCACTCTTACGTTATTTTTATTCTGTTTCACTGTCTTCTCAGTAGAGTATAGACTCTGTAGGGAATACTCGTTCTATTTTTCCATCCCTATTACTTAGTAAAGTAACAACTCACATTATATATATATTTTTTTATTACAAAGTTTATTTTTACATCATTTTGCACATTTTTTTTTCCATCTCGATTGTAATCCCC